GTGCTTATCGTGAAGTTTCAATCAGTGCGAAAGATACATGGCTTTTGAAGCATGCGGAGAACTGTTTCAGTTCCGTCGTATTCCTTTCGATGTAACGAACGAAGTTGCATGCTTACAACGTACTACTGACGATACGCTTACATTGAATACGTCACTATTTGTGGGGCTACCCAAAGCGAGTATGACCGGAACCTCGAATCTTTATATGAAGCAATAAAAACATATGGAATCACCCTTGACTGCAAGAGAAGCATCATATCAGTTAAACAAATACGCCTTCTCGACTATGAAGTCTCTAAAGGAATTATCAAACCAGTGAACGAATACACCCTGTTCATCAACTCCCTCATCCACATGATGCTAAATCCAATCAACGAGTGGGACATGTTTGCTCATTTTTCGCAGTGGATACCATACTTCTCTGACAAAATCAGTGTGCTCGTCAGAAAAGATGCTCCCCTTACCGGAGCGCGTATTACAGTCCTTCAAAAATTTAACGGAGTTAGAGAACGCTGTGGTCGTGACAGTCGACTACAATCCACTCTTGGTAGTCGAGACAGGCGCCTCAGATATAGCCATTGCTGCATCTCTGGCACAGAACGGCCGACCTGTGGCCTTCTTTCCTATAACGCTGACAGCGGGCGAAAAGCATCACTGCTATTGAAAAAGAGGTATACGCCATCGTTGAATCTATCAGTAGATGGAAAAGGTATTCATTCGGAAATTTTTCAAGCTTATCATTGACTAGCGGTCGGTTTCCTTTATGTACGATGTGCCACAGAAAAGTGAGGTTAAAAAAGCAATAAAATCTAATGGAAAATAGAACCCACCGCTTTTAGCTCCGATGCCAGCTACAGACCTGGGAGAGAAAATCTTGCGTAACTCATCCGTCAGCGTGATTGGCAGTGTTAAATGAAGAGAAATTCGTGATTTCCTGTCATCAGGAATTACTCGCATGCATCGCTCTGTTTCCGAAAACTTACCGTTTTCCTCCAAGATGTCAAAGACATCACTTCAGAACATGCAGTTTGTGCCGCCGCCAAACCGCAATTTTACAAACCACCCTTTGCTACGCTCATCAAAGCGAATCATCCATTGGAACGAATCAGCACCAATTTTAAAGGACCTATACCTTCTGTTACTCGAAACCGGTATCTACTTACTATCGTCGACGAGCTTTTTTCGTTTTCATTTCCCTGTGCAGATGCATGTGTATCTACCGTTATTAAATGTGTGTGAGTTACTTTATTTGCTTGGTGTTCTTGCATATCTCAGCTTGTCAGCTTTTACGGTTAGAAGAAAGACGTTCCGATATACACGGCAAACAGTCTCCAGCACTGGACGACCATTCTCGGCTATGATACCGTTGGCCAGACGCCTTATCAAGACTGATTAATCCACAATGACAGCCGGTAGAAGATACAGTTATTGCTTCCATTTCTATCGAACCGGAAGTTTGCATCGTACTCACTGCATCCATTCAAGCCCTTTCGGTTACGTCACCAATGGCCCGTGACGTAACCAGCTGTGACCCCGTGCTGCAACAAGTATTACAGTACCATAGAACAAGCTGGCCATCGTCAGTGACACGCGACATTCTGTCCTTATTCCATCGACGATTGTCCCCATCGGAAGCCTTCTTAGTAAACCCGTTATAATACCAGCCAAGCTGCAAATGCGAATGTGAAAGCTATTTCATTTTGGAAAACTGGCATCAACCGCATGAAAGCCTTGGCGCGAAGTTATGCATACTCGGTAGCATCTACATATTGATTTTGCTGGACCAGTTAACAGTCCGCACTACCTTACAGTAAATAGCTGGAGATAATCTTGATGGAGTACATCACTCCTCGTTCCACAGTCTTGCAGCTCAATCGCATCTTCAGTCACTTCGGCACGGCAGGTAACCTCTGTGCACTTAGCTCGGCGGAATTCGCTCTGTTTTGCAATCGACTTGGCATTCACCACGTTAGTTCGCCACCATTCCATCGTCAATCTAACGGCCAAGTCGAAGGTTTTGTCGACAGTTTCAAACGAGCATTTCAAAAACTTAATGGTGAGGGAACGTCATCGGGTATTATTGAGACCTTAAGCTACTGTGCGACAGCTAACCCAACTGTGCCAAACAACAACTCACCTGTATAAGCGCTTTTTGGGCGTCCGTTTACCCATAAATGTGTTATGCCCACCTCTCCCGCACCCCCATTAAAGGATCACACAAATGGGGCGTCAGTTCAACCGCCATCAGGGTGTCGTTCACAGCTGTAAGCCTGGTGATTCATTTTAGCAAGGGACTGTCGTAGCGGTGGGAAGAAATGGACTCGTAGTCACATCATGCGCCGCATGGGTAACGTCATATACGAAGTCGACATACAGTCTTCCACATGGGTCCGTCACGCGAATCAAGTTAGGTATGCTACACTGGCTACATTAGATAACTCGATTCTTCTGGACATATTGTTGGATACCTTTGAGCTACCACCCACACATCTGTCCCTTGTACAAACAACCCCCATTCGAATCCGTATGCATTCCGTAGCCAAAAGTTCGATTGTTGATGCGGAAACTGGGGACAGTTCAACATGATCGGTTCGTAGTCCCCAAACTCCTTCACGACCTTGGTTCCGCAGATACCAAGATCCTGGTCGGTGTACAGAGTTCCTTAATGAATATCCGTTAACACTGTCTCAATATTATGTATATAGTTCTGTTTAACAAAGACTGCGAGCGCTTTCAGCTCTGGATAATGACCGAGGATCAATTCAATTGTTTCATCTTTGTGGCTGGTCTTCATTTGCCACGTGGTGTAGACGTTGGGACCTGACTACTGAGTCTAATTGAACAGGATCCAGAGTTGAGGCCTCAGATGCCCGTTACCGAACACCAGCATCTTATCAATCTCAAGGCTGATGCTGCAACGATTGGACATTCCACTTCTCTCAGTCTGACATGGTATGCAAAGTTCTTCCAAAAGGCAGTCAGTTTCCAAACGAACCCCAAGAACAACACCCACATCGTGTTGAATTGTGATGAATCGCACTATTTACGCCACTGTCCCTACCGGAACCACAGGTGCAGTAAGCGCAGTCGATAGGGCCGTAGAGAAGGGAAAAGTTCTGGAGCTCGCGTAAATTTCGACCCGATAAAAGGACGTAGACGGAGACCATGACCACCACATTCAGGATGGAATCACCCGGCAAACGAAAATTCGTCACGGTGTGTATCATTGTCACACTCTGGGACACCTCCGAATCAGAGGTCAGCAGATCTTAAATTAGCATGCTCACTACCTCAAAGACAGCTTTCTCAAGGATTAGTTGTCTGTAGGCCAGCTGATCCTAATAATCGAACATTACATCGATTGGATGCATGTATCACGTTGTTAGGCGGAAATCCACGCATACCGCTTTGCCGCTCGCAGTTAGGCACTACTACTGCCGAGAAGCCTATCCCGCACAAAATTAGCCAAAAGTTCGAAGCGCTTGCCGGTCGTGCATATAGGTGAGCTCTGATTGGTCGAAAGCCTGAAACCAACAGCCAACCAGTATTCGAAGAATGCCGGTTACCAATGGCGCATCCAGAAGGCATCAGAAATTCTAGAATGTGTTCGTGACATACACTTTATATACGATACACTCTACAAGTGCTCTTGACCTGAGTTTGGGCATTAATATACGTTGTGCATTTTTGGTGTTTGTTTTGAACGAGAATGCTGGATTTGGAGTTTCAGACCAAGTACTACGCTGAGGAAAATCCCGTTATTACACAAGTGCGGGCTGCGGACTAAACGATGGCATTCCCTGATTGGGCGGAATGTTGGTCAATCTTGGTCGAGCATCTATAGCTCGACGCACGAAGATTTTAGCGCCACCTTGCGACACTTTCTGAGATAACCCTATGAAGACGGTTGTAACAATCTCCTTTTGTCTCCATAACGGGTTGTCTCAAACTGCCATGCCTTTTGTCATGCCATAGTGGGTGGACCAGGAAGCAGGGAATCGACACATAAGTTGCACTGACGTCAGCAAGCCACAACAGGCAGACTGTTACCGCTTCCCTGTATGGGTACCTAGGGACTGAACTCACCAATGGTTAATGACGCTGGAAGAAATCGCCCAATCGCGCAGTCGGTGGCCCTTGGGCATCAAAGCTATCCCATTCAATATGTAGCTACCCAGTCCTCGAACCGACCAAACATGCAATCGCCCCCAAGGCTTGGCCTTATGTCCCACATACTCCCACTCCCCGGTAGCCGAAACTGTAGCAACTGGAACCACTGTACCTGTGGCACATGATTTATCGCTGATAAATTGATTCATTGATTAAATTTAGTTGAAGCCGCTTCGGAAAGGCTACTGATTCTCCGGGCCAGAGATGGTAGCTGCAGATTGGATTCCCAGGCAGCCAATCGTCAACAACTTTGCACACACAGCGGAGTGTTCCATATTAAATTCGGTCTCAGGCATAAAAATGGTGATCAGCACGTTAACGGGATCTCTTTGCCTCACATCGATATAGTCAATTAAGTGGTCGTAGCGCTCTATATGGCTCGTGATGGCTGTTGTTATAGCGGGAATTTACTGACTGGAAGGTCTATGGTTGGAATCCGACATCTACCTCTCGACTTCCTCTGCCTAGACCTGGGTAACCTGGCAGTATCTCAGCCCTCGTGCTTCCTTTGGATGGCAGCTAGACACCGGAAACATGTCATAGCTGAACGATTCTTCTTATTATTAGGTAGTCACATCTGCATCTCAGATCATTCCATACAGTAAGTGGTGTCCGTCTCACATTTCTTCACCTGTTGGTTATTGAATGGTACAGCGCCGCAGTATTCTTCCGCCGTTTTTCTCTGTGGCAACATGTGAGAGCTAGCAGTTGCACGCGGTGTTCGGCGGGCATGCGATTAGCAGTCAAACAGGGGTTCACTGCATACATTTGGAACGGTATTCTCTCTATCTCATATTCTAATGCGGCTGTGAGGCTATAAACATCAGCTGTAACCATTAAGCTCCTCTTCTCAGTTATAAAACACCATAAATGGGACTACTGACCTTTAAAGGTTGTACTAAACTACTCTAAAATGCGGTTTTTACTACGGTTTTACTAATACTGTTGCAGATGGTTGTCAGTGGAAATGAAACATTGAGTGTTCTTGAAATGCGAGGACCACTTCAGGATGAACCGGACAACCAGCCTTTGGTATCCAAAGGGAAGAAACGTCCGGCTACTGTGGAGTCTCCACAACCAGTAAGTGCCACTTTCTAAGTATCCCTCTGGGGCGCTTGTCGGTATACTAAGAAACTGAAAACTTAATGAGACCGGATTGTGTCCTTATGCCGGTAGAATATTTACTTGATATTCCTTTTCAACTTAGGGAAAACTTCGATGATAGACAGCGTACATCTTACGAAATTTAGATTTACCCGTTCTCCAGAGCGCGTCACTACTGCTTTTCTAATATGTAACCGTCCCATGCTTATCTGAATGTTCCCCTCTCTTTCGTTTTCTGAATTGATGCTTCTGTTCTAGTTATCTCTTTTAATTTTGTCTACAAGGATACGAAGTTGAATACAGCTTCGACGAAAACACAACGCAAACGGATAAAACGCAAGCAGAAGCTGGCCGAAAAGCTGGACTTCAAAGCCAAGCGACCCAAACGAGATGACCAGGTAAGTCAGCATCGTTTGGGCTATTTGCACTTTCCCTTTTTCCACCTACGACTTCTTTTTGCTTCTTTTCTACGCGTTGAGTGAACTCAGCCACAATTAGCACTTGTCAAGTGGTGGACTGTTTGTGAAAGTCGTCAGAACAAGGAGCCTGGGGAACAGAACCAGCTTTCTTTGCTTGCCTACAAGGGTCCACGGGTAGAGAGGGTTACTGGAGCCAACAGGCTCACTCCTTTTCTATACTCATGAACACTTACATGTAACTTCGAACTGTACTCTACTTTCTATAAAAATCCTCCATGTATTTAGTCCGACCGTAGTCACGAAAACCAAACCATACTTTGTTCGTTTTGCCCCTTGTTCTGACAGTGTGTATCGTTGCAAGGTTGAGCTTCTGGTTCTGGGATAAATCGGTCGTTGCTTGCTGCCCGAACTGGCGTAGTCACCACCCATAGCTCATGAGAATATGAGAGTCAATGACGGATCCGTAACCAGGGGTACCAGCAGCGCGCCGTGTGACTCAGAAAAAGACTACACCTCTTTATTTTCCGGGAGAACACTACTCTTTTTAATTCAAAACCGGCGAAGACGCTTTGTGGCCCATTCTACCTACCTGATGTCTGCATGAACAGACCACCTTTTCAACCCTAGCTAAGCCCCATCGTTGAAATGAGTGTTTTATGGGTTGTTACGTTTGTTTGCTTTTTTATTCACGGTTTTAGTAAGGTTCTGATTCTTTTCTGCCCCGGTTGTAAGTTAATTCAACTTCCCGTACTTCATTAGTTGTGTTTTCTGTAAGTTGGGTGCAACAAGACTGTTTCACCATCAGCGGTGCCAATCAGGTAAAGGGGTCAAACTTTGGAACCTACGACCTTTAATCCAACACATAAGCCTCGTGTTTCTTCTGTTCCGGGTGCGCCGAACACGCATTTGTGAAGGGTACCACCTAATGGGATAAAACTTTTCAAAACCAGCTGTTTCGTCCTCACTGCGTGCATCGTCGCTGCTTGTGCTAGTGGTTGTATCGTATCATAATATACTCTCTACAGATGCTACTCGAAACGCATAATCTGTTGAACACGGATAACAGCTATGCAGAAAAGTAACCTTGTCAAATGTAATCAAAAACGCTACAGATGCTCACGTTCTCTACATCAACCAAACTGGTGCTGCCACCACTACTCCAGATCAGAGGGATATAAATTGGTGGAGCGTCTTACGTAGTTTGGAATTTGTACAGATTCCGACTATAATGTGACAGATGAGGTCAATTAACGACTCCTTAGGCTTACTTCGCGTTCGCTAATTTGAGAGACCAATGGCGTCAAAATGGTGTATCACTGGTTCTCGTGGGGAAAAAATCTCCTAGCTGTAACACCCTTCCGGTGCCTAGCTGCCATGCTACCCGAAGGAAGCACGAGGGCTTAGATACTGCCAGGTTGCCCAAGCCTCGATAGGGGAAGTCGAGAGGCAGAGGTCGGGTTCGAACCACGAACCTTCTGGTCAGTAAACTCGCGCTCTAACCACTTGATCCATCTCGCCTCCTCATGGGATATGTGTATCAAGCTACAGTGCGGGCTGTTTTGTTGTATGACTGTGAGACTCGATCTGTCTGAGCAGCGAAACTGAAACGTATTCAGGTATTCGACAATCATTGTCTCAGAACCATAGCTCATGTGGGTTGGTATCCGTGTCTTTAACGAGGCAATTAGAAAACGAGTTTTCGGTTGTGCAATGGGATTTCGATTGAAGCAGCAGAAGATGCGCCAGTTAGGTCATGCATTGCGTGTGTCGTACCATCGTTTGTCAAAGTCAGTGCTCTTTTCCGTGACCAATTCAGAGTGGTAGAAGCAAAGAGTCGGCCAACCCTTGACCTGACAGAGGGTTATGAAAGAGATTACGAAAGGTTTGGGTACTGTCGGTGCTACTCACCTTCCAGGATAGAAACCGCGTGATCCCCACTGCGCCTGGTTGGAGACGTCGTAAGATGTGGCTACTAATCGATGTCAATGGCGTTCCTGTTGTCAGTTTTTATCCAGATTGCCTCAACGAGTATCTGGAGATGAAGGCATCAGGTATTGGTTTTACTAGGCCAGCACTAATTTTTCCCCGTCTACTTTTATTCTTCTCTTCACAGTAATGCTTTCAGTTAGATCATGGTTGTACGGCAGCGAAGCATTACTGTGGAACATTGATGTTGCGCGGAAGGTGACGAGTATCATAGTCCTAATGTTATAGTGCGCAGCTACCAAGCACAAATTCTGGGGTCAGAATCTCCCTAGAGTTTCCTGAAGTTCTCACTGCTGAGATTTATAGTCCGTGTGGAAGGGCTACACTGTGCTTCTTATTTTCAAAAATATGGGTCGAATTCACTTTCGGGATGAAATCTCAATTGAACTTTTATGATCTCATACTACCAACCAACCTTAGTCGCCGTAAACGGTGCAGTTATAATGCTCCGTTTTTTTTTTGAAGGAACCCCCTGTCTCTGCAAAAATTATTCTTCCAAAAACCAAGGGTTATGTATCGTTATTAGATACTGAAGAAAAGAGGCTATCTGCGGCGAAGGCCCGACTTGGTAAGTCCCGTTTTTCGATTCCTTCGTTTGTAGTTGTGCTAATCATCCAGGACGCTACTTATCACTTACTACGTGTCACAGTTTGTTTCGTTTGATATCCACTCTTCATTGTCTGCAAGGTTTGCTCCGTTTGAAGCCCTTGATACCGGTTCTCTCTTTAAGTGGGATGTATCGTTTTTCATTGCCGCAAAAATTTATCCTACTAGGGCGTTTCTTGTGGGATAAGTGCTGTATTTCCAATGGATTCTGCTTATCTTTTGAAATGTATCGAAGTGTTCGAGATAGTATTTTCGGGGTCGGTTTGGCGTGCACGTTTAGTACGTCGATGGCGGAGAACACTGGTCATGGTTTGTGTTTTATTCTACTTGATCCCTGTTCTGGACATATCGAGACACCTGAGTGATGCCAGTGAAGCAAGCTGGCTCAATGTTTTTATGCTCACTTTCTTGAAGTATGTGGTGAGAATGCAAGCTTCTCATTGTGTTAGACACAGCACGCAGGTTGCTCTACCACATTACAGCCATAGGTTGTTACAATCGTTTCCCATAAGTTTCCCACAATATGGATCATATCCCCATGAAGATGGTTTCTCATCTGTTGTGTATTCTTGTTGGAATGGATGGATACTCCCTCATAGGAATCATCCAACCGTGCAGCGGACGTCATCCTGGCAAAGTACTTGTGGGTTACCATGTGAATCACAACCTTAGTTCCCCCTATCAATACCTGTTTAAGTTTCCACTGGTTCGCAATTGGCCGGAAGTTAACGGTCAGGTATAGGAACATCCGTAACCTTGTCCTTAGTATAAAGAATCCGTCTTCTCCATCGATTTTAAAGTCTTCACCGTCTTCAATATTGGCAATGATTGGCAATAATAATTGGGGTGATGAATCGTGGTGCCGTTGTGTAGTACATCGTTGCCGGCAACATTTTAGCTCAACCTACACTGGCCTTTGGTCACACATTGTAAACGGTCCTGATAATTATGCACTTGCTTTTATCTTCAATGGCAAACGTACACGAAGCTTGGCTGAATCACCATTGCTGCATGACTTCTTGGGACTGACCCATTAGGAACTCTGCGGGTGCGATTACAACTGTATCGTTACTGATCGAATAAAGCCAGAGGGATAGGGAGTTTAATAGGGATGGTGAATGATTAGGTGAGAGTAAGGTGATAACAAGAAGTTGGCTTGCAACTGGTTATGCTGTTGATCGTACAGTAGCATGTTGACTCCAACTGTTTGGGCTTGGGCAACCTGACAGTATTCCAGCTCTCATGCTTCCTTTGGGTGGCATGGCAGCTAGGAAGGGTTCTATAGCTGAAAGATTTCGATTTGATTCTCATAAGTAGCTTAGAAAACTGGGTTGACCAAATTACGGATTCCGCGAATGCTGATGCTTTGTGACTCGACGAGTCGACAACCCCCATAGACAGTGGGCATAGAATTCACAGCCGTCACGGCAGCCAGTACGCAAATCCGAAGGACAATCAACTGCACTACCGTCTGACACCACCAAGCTCTCAGCTTCCTTTGGGTGGCATGGCAGCTAGGAAGGGTTCTATAGCTGAAAGATTTCGATTTGATTCTCATAAGTAGCTTAGAAAACTGGGTTGACCAAATTACGGATTCCGCGAATGCTGATGCTTTGTGACTCGACGAGTCGACAACCCCCATAGACAGTGGGCATAGAATTCACAGCCGTCACGGCAGCCAGTACGCAAATCCGAAGGACAATCAACTGCACTACCGTCTGACACCACCTGTCTCAACTTCGACTAACTTTTAAGACTGGCTCTAGTGCCGCTCATCCGTCGTCTCGTGAATGCCCTGACCTCTGCATCACTCTTCTGTCGGGCTCGCTCCGTGTGAGAACTTTTGAACCTCTTATTGCAACGTTTATCCAGCAAGGCTTAAAGACGTGGCTATTTCGCGGTGCAGGACGTTTGGCGTTGATAACTGAAGTTAGCAGTAATAGGATGACCTGCAAGCAAAACAAAGTTACAGATCAGCTGGCAAGTAAGGTGCAATACACTGCATCGCTTGGGAAAATCACCAAAGTCACCCAAAGCACCAGTAATGAGACGACGGTTCAAGCAAGAGAACGTGTGTGAATGCCACTTTACTGCTGAGATGATCGATTGTTTGTTTGCTCTCCCGACCTCAATGTACAAAACGCTTTGGGTACTGATATTCCAAATACCTGACTTCGCTGAGCGATAAAATCATCAGGGAAGCTCCACCGTTCACCGCATTTAACCGGATCTTTGAGACTACTTTGAAGACCACATTTATCAATGAGATTTTTGTGAGCCAAGTGCTCGAAAACAACACTGTATCTTCCTAGTTGAGGCGAAATTGCGAATCAGGTCATCATGGTCACAGGATCTCACTTATCAACTCAATGCAGATGCACAGTTCGTAAGGAGATAATTTCCCTCATTTAAGAGCCTCTCTCAGAGGGATCGTTTTTACCTTCTTCAAGAGCGTTTTATACGGAGGGATTACTGTATCAGGTTGATAGAATGCCATCAATCCTAGGGTGGCTCCACCTTTCACGGACTTTGGTGTTCTCGAGTCGGGTACAATCACTCACCCACATGTAACTCTCGCAGAGCCTCCGTTCGTTTGAATTAACTAAATATGATGAGGGATTTGACGTGCCGCCTGACATGCCCCTTTATAGACGGATAATCAGTTTAGGTACAGGGCTTAACTCTTGCATTCAATCTCGTTCTCCACTGCCGCTATCGTTGGGTCGGACCCGATCTACCGGACATTGCTACTTGTCTCAGCAGATAGATTGTCTCTCAGATAGATTAAAACCCCAATTCACACTGCAATAGCTTGAGTGGTAGGCTTGAATTCACCAAACCAAGACTGGTTAAAGGTCTGTCATTGATTGCTTAAACTATATCACCACCAGTAAACTGGGCTAGCCTGTCACATTAGGAACGAAGTTCATGTGAATCCGGTCCTTTTATTACTCCAAGTCACTTCTGACGTGAACCATATTTTCTCCTGAGGAAGCCTTGACGAAGATCATTCCTCCCCAACGCCATATTTGTTTGCTGTTTAGGAATGAGTCATTTCCTTATCATAACAGTGCTGAAAGCCTCTACTGGTTGTTTCCCACAGCTGAAATGTACACGAACGTCTTGAAGATTCAGCCGATTCCGCGACCTTGCCCCCCTGGACTTTTGAGAGACTTATGTCCCCTCGCAATCAGTATTCGGATTCCGACGAAGAATGGGGCTGGGTAATTCGTTGTCCCTTTGCTTGCGGTTCTTCTGCTTGTGATTTTTTATTCGAATGCACTCTTGGTTTATCCATTAGCCGTGAGAATGCACGATGACTACGAAACTTTATTAGTTTTTAATCACTGTTTTATCGATGCCATCTTGTTGGCCTGTGTGTCGACGGTAGGGGTCTGTAGGACAGGACTGGCCATGTATAGCGATCATTGCTCACACCAGTCTAGGGAAAATACTGTTGAATAAAGGCGATAGTTTCATAGCGGAATCCTGGAATGTATTGTTGTCATTTTATACTGCTAGTGGCGCACTGAATGCACTGCTAGAGTGCTTTTGTTCGTCCGGTTTAGTCGTGTATTTTAGGATTTCTGATCATTACTGTGGCCTATTCACGGACTCCAATCCAGGTAACGTGACTGATTGGTTTAATCTTTAACTCTCTGCTGCCAGTTCAATGACTTAGAACATCTGAATTCTCAAGCAACATACGGTTGAATTTCGCTTATCGTAATGCCTATATATGACTTGGAACTGCTAGATCGTTGAATCTACCGATAAAGGAGTGGACTTGGTCTTGCTGTTATAGTTTGCGTAACTCAACCACCTGTTGAGCTATATTGGGAACTTTACTATGACAGTCCCATAATCTCCCATGCCAATTTATTAGATAGCTGTCCGGTGAACACAGTATCCAGGTTAAGGGTTGGATCTCATAAAAAACTACGATTGTGGTAACATGTCTGCACCAATTCACTGCCTTGCGCTTAGGTTTTGGGGTTAAATGCTTTGGCTGCTCTGTGACATTTCGATCCCACTACATTGCCCGAGGTCTCCATTCGCCTTGCATCATCCATAGCCGTAATGTGTGTTGTAGTAGTCTTGGGTACCTCAATTTCAATCCCCAAATCCTTAAGCTTGATTCATTTGGCTACTTTCAATATTCACATCGTGAAACAGGCAGGAGATTGGCCGTTGCTACTCTCACGCTTGATTCCCTCTACATTGATGTTTTTGTTTTTTAAGCGGTGATTTAGAACACGAGTCATTCTTTCCTCACTTCCTGATTGCTCACCTCTGGTTACGCAGAGGCCTCTGCGGTTGGGTATGCAATCGTCTGTATCGTGTAAAACCACTGTACATAAGCATATGTGTTTGAGCGAATACCTGTTCATAGTTGTTTCCGTTCAGTCTATCCAGAAAAGTTTTTGGAAAAGCTTCGCGCCATTTTGCCCGGACCACCGGTCTGTAATAGAAATATGGGCTACAAATACGGATAATTCATTCTGGAAAGCATATGAGCATATTTCGGGTAGCACGGTGGATAAAGCCGTGGGACTCCACACCGCTTTACTCCACCGTACTGGTGATATGTCGATCGTCGACGAAACGTTTGCAACGAAATTTCCAAGTTCTCAAACGACTCGACCATCAACATTATTTTCCTGAACGGTTCGAGTTGGGCGACCGAACTAGAGTCTTGTATGTGTTTCAATAGATGCCCAAAATTACTTCGTTATCACGTAATACAGTTGTCCAACCCGCCCAAGCTTATTCGTCGTTTTACTCCCTGTTGCGCTGTGTTCGCACAGCTATGCATTTTTACAGTTTCGGAACCAAGTTGAAATGGATGCAGCTCAGAAACTACTCACCACTAAATCTTTGGGCCCCAAGCCTCTGCAGGTCACCGTAGCCTCTCCAGCCTGTCGATCGAATGCCGAAGATTGGCATGGACCAGAAGCCCGAACAATGAGTGATTTTGATTGGAACACATTATTCGTGACCCGTTTGCCCCGTGCAACAACTCGATTAGATTTGGGTCAGGTGTTTCGAAAAGCACGTGGCATCCGTTTGTCCCTTTTCGACGACGGTTCGTGCAAAGGGTGAGTGTTAGCTGATCTTCGTATCGCCTGTCAAGTAAAAGCTGCAGTTAATTTGTTTTTGCACCGATGTCATCCGTAGAGATATTATCGGGTAGAAACACTTATATCTGTATGTGTTCATACTTAGCCATCGGACAGACCACCGATCTTTCTCCTAAAGAGCTTGATAAAGCGCACTGTGACTGCTTTTCAAACCACTCAAATCCTAAGCGAATCCTAAGCAAACGGAGGATTCATTTTCATTAGCTGTGTTTTGTTGCCAGTGTCTTCTTCTTTGCTTCCGATGCAATTCCCGGGCTTCCCAGTTAAGTTTTTAATCCATATTTTGATTTTCGCTGGAACGCAGGTTTCTCCAACTCCCATATTTATTCGATGTAGATGCAGTTTTTGTTTGTATTGGGCATACATATGCTTTCAGGATTTGCCAGATTCATGTTGAAGTGCTAATCAGCAAAAACTAATCATATGAGGTCTTTCATCCTTACTGAGGCTCGAGATGGATGTTAAGGCATCGACCTTTTGGCTAATGGTCTCGCGTTACTACTCACAGGATTACACGTCTGCCACTGGTTTCAAGCGGTTGATGATCACTCGAGGTTAAACATTAGAAAACAAAGCCCGCATGTAACCAAATGAGCGACACAATGCGACGGGAACATAACTCATCACCTAAGTTTTACCAACCACTTCAAACTTGGAAGGGCTGGATAGGTTTTTTCCAAAAACAATGAATGAATGAATGAAATGAAAGGATGCTGGCGTTTAATAGACTAAATTCGTTAGGGCATTACCGTTGCTACCCACAAGCATCTACAAGCAGTAGAAAACAGTGCAGTACTCAAAGAACCGTTGCGACCATTATCGGTTGACTTCGCACTTCTTTATAGCAATAATATACAAAGCTACCAAAGAGATACAGACATTTTCTATGCCTGGGCATTTGGCCAGCATTTATTATCTCACCATACAATCCACCGTATAAAACAAACGCTCGTGTAAATAATCAGTTTCCATGAAAATAGTGAAGGTGAAGTAGAGAGGTTTAGAATACATTCGAATGGCGTGCAGTAATCTGATGTTTAGCTATCAAAGATATGATTAAACTCGAGAAGAGGCAGCCGAAACACCCAGGCTGAGGATGATATAAGTGCTCTAAAGAAACATTCTAAGGTGAATCCGTTGTGCGATCAAAAAGTAGATTTCCGAGTTTCATGAGGCGCTAGACCAAGTGAAGACCAGGTGAAGTGTGCTTTGCATACATACACAAGGGTGGGGCGGTGGTCTGTCGAACTCAGGGTACTTTGGTTAGGCAGTCTTCACCGATGCTTGGAAATTCGTTTTTCACTGCACTGTTTGTCTGTACACTGCAGCCCGACACCCACATTGATGCGGGGTTCTGAGAGCGTCGAAGCTGTCACTCGTGGACAACGGCCCTGTCGATACGGAAAAAGCAAATAGAAGCAAACGATCAGATGAACATATGTGAGCAAATGGAAGAACAAACAGTCTATTAAAGACTGAGGGGCTCTTGCGTTGATGTCTCCCACATACGACGAAATACTGTTAAAATGCTTTGGAAGTGAGCGATCGCTCAGAGTCTTCAAAGTACACTGGAAGTTTGAATTGAGGTCTATGTTCCACGTCATGCAGAATTCTTTCGAAGTGCCATTCAGTCCAGTTCCAATCCAGCAACGTAGTTCTGGTCTGGCGATAAGTGCACTACAGAGTAAAACAAAATACAGAGCGTGGATTGGCTTTGTCTTAGTACAGAGTAATCCCCATACTAGGACGTTGTCTTTTACCTTTTTGAGTTTTCATCCGGACTCAACAAGGTGATATATATTGAATAAGCTGTCATTTGTTGGAATCCGTAGACAGGTATGATCGATATAGCACGTAACAGACGAGCTAATTTCACAATATCGGAGCCATATCGGGCACGCTGAAAATTTCCGATGTTGAATCAGTTTAGACCCGGGATTTAACATATACAGGATTAGGAAGAAACTGAAGATCTAAAGTTGAACAGAACTAATTTTTAAATCCCGCGTAGCTGTATTTCCGTTGAGTGGAGGCAAATGCGATCAGGAACAAATATTAAGAATGGTACCCTCAGTGAAGACATCAGAAGCATGAAGTATTGTTTTTCGACCGGCTAACGGGCCCTAAGTTTTGTTGGCTGTGATGCTCTAGCCAAGTAGAGCTATGCCCCCTTAGTACGTCGCATTCCTCGTCCTTTTTCCTTATGTTTATCCATCAACTGGGGTAGTTCGATATTTGGCCTACGCAGCATTTCCGTTATAATCAGTTGATTTGCCTGTCTGGAAATGACTGAGATTCATGGTATACAATAGACTTGTGAATCACTGAATCGTGATTCTCACAGTCGCGAGACCCGGGTAGGTACTCACACGCACCGTTCAACTGGGCGAATGGGCGTGGGAGGAGGATGTGCCTGCCAAGATATTCTTTACAGGTTTTACAAATTTGGACAATTGGTAATCATTATGAAGCCGACAAAGAGAAGCAGGCACTAACACTTTCTTCCTCCTTCAAAAGGTGATCTTGCGAGTTAGGGAAGGGCAGGATCACCAGAAACTGGAATTTCGAGATCGTTCATCCGTTTATGGAACCACCGCGTCTTATGCTTTGGTTAAATGCTTTCACCAGAAATTCAGGTGGTTTGACTGATAGGATACATCGTGCCGGTCATTAAGCCTGTACTCCGCAAGTTTCTCGCGTCACGCAGGTCCGTTACATATATTTTGTCTTAAGGTCCATTTTTACCTGTAAATTCCCACATTATCGCGAAGACAATGCACAATATATGTGTTACCTCATTCATGCTGAATATGGTTCGGATATTGTATGTTATGTCTTGAATCTGTTTGAAAATTGATCCAAACTCCCGGTTATAAATTCCGATGTGTAACTTAGCGTCAGCGTATCCCTCCACAATCTTTATTCTTCATTGTGAATAATCAGCGGTTCGCATGGAGTAAGTAGGTAAGGTAGTTTGAAACGTAGATATCTCGTTTTAGCTCGCGTCTACTTGTGCACACTCCACTCGTTCGTAACAACACATGCTCGATTGTGGTCTCACCTGAGGACCACCACTCCTATTTTTCCATTACGGAGCAGTTTTCTTCTGCTGGACATGTGCGTGATTTCAAGAAGGTGTTTGCACGCTACTGGTATCACAGTCCGGAACTCCTCTTTTATAAGTGTAGTAAATCACGTGAATGTCGTGGTATTCCCCGCAATCTCTTTTGGACTCAGCGGTGGACATGTGGGTTAGGCAGATCCTGTATCCAAAGACCAGGTTAACGGCTTCTGATATCCTTCGCGCTATCTTACAGGGTTCCTTTGTTTGTGCAAGGGCCATAGTGGATGGTCCCTCGAACGATTGTTGGTGGAATCTGGGGCTCGGACATGTTTGCAAACAGGACATCTACAAAGCCAATCCGCGTTCGCGCCGTCTGCCTCAGTACGGTGACACTGCATTTTGATGTGGCCCACAACTGAAACCGCTACGAAATGCTTCTCAGCTTTTCATTATAGGGATACTAAGATGCAACCAAAATCTTATCTAAACCTAATGTGCTCTATAACGCGAACCCTCATAAATATACTCAGCTTGGCGCCATTTCGGTGCGTAGCTGTCATGTAACCTTAAAAAAGCCTAAGGGATTGTGGTATTTCTTCGCTGCCTACGCCATAAAAAGAGCTGTCAAAAAGATAAAGGACAGGATGGAATCAGGTACCTCTTGACCAACAGATCACATTTCAAATTTAGGATATCAAGTCCAGCAGCACGTGATTCAGATAGATTATAATCTACCCTTGTGTAACGACCGTTGTCCAGGATATTCACTAGAGTCTTGAGGATAAACCGACTCGGTGTGTTTCTTTTAGATGCGAATATGCCTCATTATACGTATCAGTTACCACTAGGCTCATTAATATACGTGTTTTGCAGAACCTGTACTCTGAAATATAAATCGCCGTCCGACGCTTTGCAAGCCTTCGAAACCCGGCACGGAACGTTCATTCGTGGTTCGCCGATTTATGTTAACTTTGCGCTGAATTCGAAGAAGGTTAGTCCGCAATGTTAACCGATTTTTCCTCTTGCATAGCTTCGTTACAAATCTTAGCTAAGTTCTTATAGTCTTTCCTTGTGTGCCAAATACCCAACTAAACCACTGGCTTAATTTCACAACCTAGCCTAGCTCCTGTGTGGACTTCCAATTGTGGTTTGTTTTGTGCTGGTTCCGTTCAAATTGATGACTGTAGCGCTAAGTCCAGGTGAATGAATGTCCCGGTTTATTTTCCGGCTAATACCCGGCATTGTAAATGTACGCGAGTTCTGCTTGACTGTCTCATACCACAAATATCCTGTAACCCCGTAGTACCGATATCGAGGTCAGTATTTTATAGCCATGGGTTACTTATCACGTATGTTTTCTAAGTGCCAGATACTGAGCTCACTACCCAGCATCGGTACGAATTCTGTCTTCTTCCGTGGCGAACCCACGGTGACCCACAGGCTGCCGCTAAAATGTAAGGCCGAAGTTTCTGGTCAGGTGAATGAACCTATGAACCTATTATGCTGGCCATTCTGATGTATATCATCAGATCATATTTGTCGGTACATTTTGTGCCTGAGAATCCAACGAAAGATGTCAGTCAGACATCATTGGTAATATGAATATCGCCAGTCAACCTGCCACTGGGTTTCACAGAGGCTACCAGTGTTGCATTCAGCGACCTAGCTTGGGTTAACCCTATCTGATAAATTCAACCTTGCAGGGTCATAAATGGGCTGACTTTGGCCTACTAATGATTACTTTGAACTTAGTGTTCTTCAGGCGTCTACGTTTAGGACTCCAGGAAAAGGCGAAATTGTCGAGATCAGCAGGGCCGCGTCATTCTTTTTCACATCAGGTCACGAATAAACCACACGAACAGAACTGGAAGAAAATATGCCACTTAAATATTCTTTTGTAAACCGCACGCCGCTACCGGATCCGATAGGCCACCACTTAAGATTCGTATGAAGCACATTACTGAGTACCATAGAATCCTCTTTTGTGGTAGACAATCGATTCAATTACTCTGCTCAACACTTGGCAATTTTTCCAAATCCTCCGAATTTCTCCGTTCTTGACAGCCCAAACCTTCACCACCTATTATGCCAATGGAGACGGAGGACCTTGTTTCATCGGAGGAACGTTCAGATGCGACAAAGTCAATCAAAAAGACAGTCGATCGAACTCCTATAAAATCACATTCCGACGAGTTTGTGATTGATAAGAAACCAGCTTCCGCCCAGTCACAGACGGCTGTGGCATACAAGTCAGACAAAAAGACAAGAAAAGGTGCCACAAACCTTCCACAGGGTGCTGATCCTAAGATTCTCGCCAAACATCAGTTGAAGCGAAAGGGTGCGGTGGCTTCAAAGTGCTCCGTCCCATCTCCTTTGGAACTTCTACTTCGTCCGCCTGCTTCTAAACCCAAGAGTGCGAAGAAATCAAAGAAGCTCACGAAACGGGGAAAACCGAGCAAACACCGCTAACTTCCAGGAATCGCGAATTGTGTACAGATGCATTTGTTTGTATCCATACAATAAAGGTTGATTACATAGTCTTTCCATTATCGAGCGAAGTGTCCCCCCAGCTTACCGATAAGCTTATCGCTAATCACTGGTTAAAATACTGAGATATCTTCGGTTGGATTTACATATTACCAAACAGTCTCACTTACTGTCGAGTGGTGTGTTGGGATCCAGTTGACATTTCCTACTAAGTCATTGAGACTTACTCGCTATCGACTGTTTCTGAGTGAATATTAGCGTAATACAATAAGGTTTCACAATAAGGTTTCCCTTTGTTGGGAGCCAGGCTCATCCAATTCAGTTGTTCTGATTCACGGTTCCTTCCATGTACTTGACCCAACAAGGGTTGAGCTGACTGTCAATACTTGTGTTAAGCTGCTTGGAGAAAGTGTTCTCTCATCGCCTCTTTGTTTCATTTTCAAAACTGACATTCCACATTTAAAGTGGAATGCAGATCGTTATTGGGTGAGTCCAGAAGCCTGAGTATGAAGAGCGTGAATTTCACGAAGTGCTGGAGCATATCCTGTTACATAAGCTTGTAACAGAATCGAACATATATATATATATATATATATATATTGGTTGTCAGGTTTACTGGTCCTGAGTGTCGAATGTCCATCTTGACGTGTATTTATTTGTTTTTCTGAACCACTTTAGTTTATAGGATTTGCAACATAGAGATAGAATTATCCGTTACGACGTTGCTGACAAGGTTGAATAAAATGCACCCACTTCTGGGGCTCATCGCGTCCTCTAATTTTGAATTTGAACGTACGTAGAGCTGAGTGCTCATATGTAAATTAAAGTGTTCCCAACAGGAGGCTTGCACAGACTTCTCGCTTATGATATTCTCCAGCTAGAAGTCTTTTGCAAAGGCCACCTCATGTTTCAGTCGGGAGTATGATCAAGGATTGCTTTTGCGGCATCCAACGATGTATTCAGGCCGGAGGTCTGATTAGGATATATGGGGAAGGTATGGTGATGCAACCAAATACCACGCGTTTTGTGCCAGGTCGGATGCATGTTACACAAAGTTACAACTTTGGCTTAAGTGTCAATGACAGGTAGCAAACGGTCGAATAGGAAATGTTGGTGATGCATTCCTGCATAATGCATGAGATTGCNCTTTTCTTGAATGAGTGACAAATTAGATTCCCTTTGTACCGCTTGAGTGAATGAACTTATAAAATACCCAACCTCATTATTTGCTGATCTTATTTGGCTAACTGCCTGTCACGGCAACAACTCGAGTAAGCGTAACGGAGCGTACAATCGTCATTGATGGGAGATGGAGTTTCTCCTATAGACCTTCCATAAGGCTTCAGCAAAATCCGGAGTAATGGTAGAGGGATAAAATCCGGCTCGATCCGTGGTGTTAGGCCTTTTTCACGGTGGGGAGGGGACAACTACAGTTTTCGCCCATTCACCTGACCTAAGACTTTGTCAGTCAACATATTTGTTCGGCCGAATAAAGACTGACTGAGAGGGCATAAACTATGCAGGAATCGTTGACGTGGGTTCGGTCACTGCACAAATCTGGCAAAACCTAGCAACGAGGCGTTCAGTAATACTCACACGTTCATGCGATTACAAACTGGATTTGCTCCTCAACCATTTCGCGTATAATCCAGTGTTTTCTAGAATGAGTAAACAAGCCTTGTTAAAATGGTTGTACAGTGGCTTCCCATCAAACTTTGTTCGGCAACGAAGTTTCAGTTAGCTTTACATACTGCTGAGCGAACATGAAGACGTGTGAGCTCTCTAGAGAACGAGCTGGGTCAACAAGCAACAGCCTACAAGCACACCCAAGTTAATAATATTTCATCATATTCCCAGCAGCTTATACTATTCCTCATTGGGCTTCTTTGCAGACAAAATCATTTGTCAGGTTTCATACGATGTGATAAAAGAACGAAACGAAAGTGGAGTAAACCAGCAGTCACAGACGGTGTCCAAAATCTGTACAGATATACCATGATTTGAAGAATTGTGATTCCTGCAAGTTTATAGACGGACAGGACACTAACAAGATAACGCGGCTGTTCACACCGCTCATTTACTCCATTGTTAGCTTCTGTTCTGTTGGGACAACACATTGGACCGGACGGCTTACAGTCCGAATGCCATCCTGGTTGAGAACGTTTGGAGCGCACGGAGTATACGGGGATGCAAGCCATGCGACTCCAAAACTTGGTTGCTGCGTACACTTAAACGGCATTGGTGAAACGTCTAAATCCTTTATGTAGGTGTACATTACAGTAATTGTAAACAGCCTACGGTGGTGACCGGAAGATGTTGGAACCTATCAATGTGGGTGATAAAATGAGATAGTCCGTTTTGCACTTTTTAACGCCTTTACTTCACTTCCCTCGGACTACACTCTTAAATTGTATGTTCGTTTTTTCAACATTAATCGTCACCTTCAGACCGAGCATACATTTTATCCACTAGCGGAGAAATTATGGCGAGCACCGCAATTTCTCTCGGAGTTTCACATTAATGTGACTAACCACAGGTATTTCATTTCTCATGTTGAGGCTAATCGGTGTTATCCATGAACCATCGTTGTGGGAATTTAAAGTTGTTGTAAAGTCAAGGCGTTCTAGAGGGAACCCCGTGTACGACAGTCTCAGATTTCGATACAGAAGAGAACAGACAAGGCCTCGCACCATTTTGTAGTACTGGCACGAATTTGGAAGCGTTCCTTTCTAACCGGAATTTGACATCAACCGATTTTTTTATCCACTAGCGCCTCACATAGCAATGGGTTCCAAAGAAAGTCCGGTTGACAGGCGTCCTCGTTTCGGTGGCCGACACTTAGAGGTGGATTCAGATGTTTACTCCTACAATGCATGGTAGGTTGAACTGATTACTTGGTTAACCACCACACAGGGATGATGTGGCGTGGTCTGTGGAAATGGAGGAAGAAGCTCGCAAACTTATTGCAATCAACGGCGCACAGAAGCTGTCTGTTGAACAGCGAGGTTCGCCTGCTATCCGTTCCGTAAAATGATATAATACAGGAAAGTACGAGGCCAATGCGTGCGAGTACTGGGATCAGTTCTACTTGAGACACGATGAAAAGTTTTTCAAGGATCGTTCCTGGTTGGCTACGGAGTTCCCTGATCTGTTCACTCAAACAAGTGAGTTCTTTGGCCAAATAGTCTTAGACTGCTACAGCTGAACGACGCACCATTTTTGAGGTCGGTTGTGGTGCAGGAAATACGACCATTCCTATACTTCGAGGGACTAGGTAAGTAAACGCGAATGGAAATTGCTTAAATTTTCTCAGACAGAGCAATATTTTTATCTATGCATCTGACTTTTCATTAAAGGCGGTTAATCTGCTGAAAGTAAGTCCCTACTCCATTTCCTTTTATCGGTGTGTTCCGGAAGCAGTCAGACGAGTACGATCCGGCACGTTGTCATGCCTTCGTATACGATGCAACCAGAGTGGATGTAAAGCTGCCATTTGCCCCAGGTAGCTTGGACTATATTCTCCTTATTTTCGTCTTTTCGGCACTGAATCCCGAATGGTGAGTTTAGTTTTTCTTCACAACCTCCAATCACCTCATCAGTCTACCTAGTGTGTTGCAGAACTTAGTGTCCTACCTCAAACCTGGCGGAAAAATTTTGTTCCGTGACTACGGTCGCTATGATATGGCGCAACTGCGGTTCAAAAATGGCAAATGTTTGGCGGACAATTTCTATGTGCGTTCCGATGGGACATTGGTGTACTTCTTCGACCAGGGTATGTGGTATCCGAAGCTATTCGTTACCCTTTTAATCCGATAGATGAACTACGCGGTTTGTTTACGGGTGCCGGTGTGGAAGAAGTACAGAACAAGGTGGATCGTCGGCTTCTGGTTAACCGGAAACGAAGATTAAAAATGTACCGTGTTTGGATACAATGTGTGTACAAAAAACCGTAAAAACTTGTTTTGTTTTTGTTACTTCCGCGTGAAAACGGACGAATAAGCTATCGCCTTTATTGAAAAGCCTAGGAATGACAAGATGAGCCCCGTGTGGGAAATTGGCGCGTGCACATAGATGAACATTTCGTCCCTGCTAGCAACCGTACTATGCACAGTAATGCCCAGAAGTCTGCCGCTCAAATGCCACAAGATCCTAGGAAAACTGAAGGTAACCAAAAAACCCTATGCTGGGAAACACTAAAACGACATGGATACCTTGACGAGTTGGAGCATGAATACAGTTCAGCCACTAAACTAAGGAGCTGGTTGAATTCGAATAAACACACAGCCAAACATGTTGGATGTTATTTTTTCTGATGACCGTATGCGGGTTGCTTTGAACCGCTTTTCAAACACCACATTCGCTAACTAGCCACAGTCAGACGTTACGCAAGGGTGTTTGGAGCCAGATCAGATATTATTAAGGAAAAACTGACCTGCTACACGGGCTTGTCATCTGCTTTCCGCGAACTCGTAGCAAACCCCCGTGAATATTATTGCGTCCTACCTGTTAAGGCGAACAATGACTTCAGTCACCCACTTAATATTGTGAAAGTAAGTGACCGTTTCTCAGACCGAATCAGAGAGCTTGGGATGAACTCGAAATCCTTATGAGAACCGGATTGCCACGTATGCTAGGAGCGGTTTCATGTTAAAAAACGAAACTGACTAATCGAGGACAGCTATAAGGGAGACGTACTGGTTGCTCATCTCGCTTATGCACATGGGTGGTGTGTCTTAATATAAATCTTCAAAAGAAAGTTACGGTTGAATTACACCGTTTCAATGTCTTCCCCGGTTGTACGACAGCGAAGTATCAGTGTTGAGCACTGATGTCATCCTGTCCATGACGATGGTGATGCTTTATTGCCTCCCCTTGTACGACACGAAGTTTCAGTGGTGAGCCACTGATGTCTCCTGTCCATGACGATGGTGATGCTTTATTGCCTCCCCTGGACGGTGTTTACATCCCTGCTTTTGCTATAACTCTACCACCTCTGAACAGAATGGGACGATTTGCATATACAAATTATGGATACCATTATAATGTGCTTTGAGATCTTTGGAATCAGCGGAATGTGGAAGGTGGGTGCGACAAAGGTAGGGGGTCATCCTGAGGTATCGTCGGTCAATTCACTTAATAACATTTAAAATCTGCATTGCTGGGTGACCCGTATTTCCGCATTTGCTAGTTGGATTCCCTCACCGAAGCTCGCTGCTACGGCCAACAACCCCAACCCGCACGCGATTGGCCGGAAGATCGAGTCGCTTGCCGGTCCACCATTAAGTTGAGCTTTGATTGGCCGAACAGTGGACCCAGCAGTCGGTCATGACCTAGTATCCGCCGGGTGCTGGTTGCCACTGGCCCGTCCAGAAGACGTCGGAATTTCCAGAATATTGTCGTCTCATACAGTTTATATACGACGAGCTGTATAAATGTTTTTGAACTGGTTTTAGGCGTCCAATACATGTTGTGCACCTTTGGTAGTTCGTCTGACGAAAACGCCAGCTTGGAAGGTTCATATCGAGAACTGAGTTGAGGCATTACCATTATTACGCCATTCTAGCTCCGCAGCAGCTATCAGGTCGGTCAGCGACACTATATACTCAGTGCGTTAGTGAGACCTCCAACTGCTAAATCGTGCTACGGTCGGGCCTGTAAGCTGATCGGCTCAATAGCAACAACAAATTATTCTGAAATGCAAATGTGTGTATCAGGGTCTTGGAAGTTGAACAGTACTGCTAGTTGGTTAAGTGTGCAAACTGAGACGACTTCAAATGCATATAAACGCGCATCAGTATGGGGTTTGGTGCTACTAGTCCCACCAAGTACTTCCACAGAGCTCCAAAGGCTTTAATTATTCTAGAACGGGATGGAATGAAAGGGTGAAGTGAAAGCAGGTGTCGTTTGACTCAATACAACTCATGTTGAGCTGTCTTCCGGTATTCGGCTAGAGAACCACACCATCACTAAAGATAAAAGGAAAATCTCTATAGGTGGATAAATAAGCGGAAAGAACTGAGTTTGCACCCAGGGGACGCTGATCTAGGTCGTGTTAGCCTACAGAATGAGTAAATGTTGAGCACACTTGCGTATAACGACAGTCCCTATTTCAAAGTTAAAACTCCTATTAACAGCTAGCGTTTGTTCCGTCATACGAAACCGCCGAGCTACTCAAATCAGTCCGTGTTATAAAATGTGAGGAACGTTGAATGGCAAGTCCGCTGATTTGGTTCGTTTTGCATACAGAGGCGCAGTCCGCACCATCTACAACGACGCCAGCTCTTCATGGTGAACATAACTGGTAAAGTGATAAATGTTCAGGTGAGATGACGGCGAGTTTTGGTTAAGCGACTTATTAATGAGAACCAGCCAAAGGACTCGAATACTATTTTCCGAGTTGGTTCGAAGAGAAGCGTAACAGGTGTTTTGGGTTTGTATTTGTTCAAAGCGTGTCTGTATGTCTGTATTAAATGCTTTGTGCAAATTTTCCAACTGAGTTACTCCGGAACCAAAATAGTGGACTGCTTCTTCCCCGTTTTGCTTTTCAACCTCTTCAGCCGCTGCTGTTTTTGTCTGTGCATAGCGGCTCGCTTTTCCGCCGTAGCACGCTGGAGGCGAGCGTAACGCTTCCGTTGTTGTCTAAAATAGCAAAAGGTGAAAGCGGTAGAATACTATGAAGGCTGATGGGATCTACACTGATTGTGGTGATAACAATCAATCCTGCTCTTTAAAAACAGCATACCAATGGTAGGTCAAAGCAGGAGTGTGCGAATGGTATGAGAAAATGAGAATTACGAGCAAGTAACTGCATGGGCGCCAAGGATCAGGAGCCAAGAATTAAAAAAGGAACACAATCGAAGTTCCTCCTTCTAACCGGAGCAGTAACAGTTGAGCACCAGTAGTTTTGCCAATGTACTGTTGTCATTGTTGATAATGATGATAAACCAGAGCGATCAAGTTTGCCATTATGGCTGGGAGGTGAACACAGAATGGATCAAGTGCTCGTATTAGGCAACTTGTGCTCCGGTTTAGGGAGTGAGTAAAAAAAACACGATTGATGGATGGGAATAGGAACGGCGGTCTGACGTCGCGAGTTAGACGAGCGTTTCCTACCATACCTAACCCAACATACGTCGTACGGCGTGGCTAATCATGAACAAACCTGATTTCGCCCAACCAACACTAACACTTACTTCATTAATTCTGCGTTGGAAAGTAGCTCATCCACAATTGTCCTGCCACGCTGTTTCCGTGGAACACGATCGTAAAAACTGCCAGGATCGTCAACCACAACACCATGCTAAAAGAAAAGAAACAACGGATTAAAGAGCACGGAAAGGCTAGACGATACAAGTTTGGTTACATAAGATTAACGTAGCTGGCTGGGGGGAGGTTTCCGACTGAAAAGTGAAGTTTTATACACTGGTCAAAACGTAAATCTAAACACTAGATAATAACTAATCACCAAGATCATGGAAAGCGCAGATATGCATAAGCAGCCGGTACATGTGTCGCGGTCCAGGTACGCTATGTTGAAGTCGGTTAAAGATATGAAGGATCTTCCGTTTGGCTCTCGCAGATGTGGATAACACCACCTTCCAATGCTCTCAGGATTCCCCACCTGTCGCCTGAACTTTCCGTAGACATACTTCAACGTCCTTTTTGGAAATATTGATGATGAAGGTGAGGCGAACCATCAGCTTGCGTACGAAAGCCACCGTTCGGGACTTTGGCTTTTAGTAAACTCGAAGACAATGTCTTTGGATACTGAGAGTGCGGCGGCCACATCGCCGCTGGACGGTACCAAAATACGATTACCTTGACACATGGAATTATCAAGTTCGTCTATGCATCGGAAAGTTCCTTAGGTAGCGGTCGGTTGACGAACAAAAGACGCCGTTCTCTCCATTCGTAGGTATATTGAAAATACCGCATTCAAACGCCCATACTCCAGCACGTAAGCTTGATCGCGTTCTGTCTGTCTCCAGTACCTTTCTGCGATCTTAGTCTATCTCCGTACACTTGAAATTATCGAAATTGTGAGAAGTTCCTATTAGTTTTCTTACAAGTTTTCCTATCAGTCCTTATATATGAGTCTATTATCTATTACTGCAAACATTTTGGCTGTCCCTAACTTATCCTATTTCTGATCCCTAGGGAAAAGTCTATCTTGACCAAAGCATTTCGAATATCCTTTCTGTTCACGGTGGGAAAGGCTGGAAGCAAGATATTTTTTAGGTCCCTCGAAATTCTAATGACCACCCCCACTGCATGCATTGTCTTGTATTATTTTGCAGTTAGTTTTACAAGGTCTCAAACGTTTTTCAATTTCATCTGACAGCAATGATATCGACAACTTTTCTTTTGTAAAATAAACTGTCAATAAGTGCATTACAACTTATGACCCTTTCGGTTAGTCATTCTTGAGAAATCGGTCACTCACCTCACCTTACACCTTTAAAGATCATTTCTAAGTTGGATACATGCTATAGATCAACGTGGCGACAGCTTGCTGTGGGAGGCGTAAAGAAAACTGACGAGATAGTGTTCATGAAACTTAACGATGTCTTACCTGGAAGTATTTGGTTTTCGTGTCTGACCTCCTCACATGAGTCTCCACAGCGAGTGCGCGTCGTAACCGAATAACTTCTAAGTCATCGCGGTCTTCCTCTGTGACATCGGGTTTGGGTAGATTATACCATTTCTCCAATTTGTTCTGACGTTCAGCCTAGAACATTGTAGCAACAGTATGGAAGTGATAGGTTTTAAAAAAAAATCCACTGGACGTTTTGGTCACATCGTTACTCGTCCGGGAGATTTAGAGAGGATCATTCATGCAATGTTTCATGCAGTAACGCGTCAGTGTTCTCAGTCAGGTGCATCTTTTCCAGGAAATTTTTAGTGCCCCAAATGATATGAGGACACGTCATTTCCAGCCTCCAGTTAAATTATTTCCATCGCTTTGAATTGTTGCCGATATAAGAAAGCCCTTGAGTCGCAAACGTTTCTCGGCTACCGTGCCCCCTGCCAGAGGCACGCATTAACTTTATCGCCACTTCCTAAACTATTGGGCTGTTGAAGAAACACATAATCCGATTTGTAAACCGCTAGCATCGTCTTGATGAACATGTACGCCTTGGAAGGAAAGTCGAAACGGGAGTTATCTCCAGAGCAATCTGCCAGAGTAATAGGACGAGCCATGGGCAGAATGAAGAGTGGTCCCACTGACACAGGACCTAACAGGAATGGCCTGGAAGTTGCATATAGTAGGCCATCCGGATAGCAAAGCCGAAGAAAAAATAACAATGGAGGGGGTGGCATGTAAATCATCGTGGAGTGCACAGACTAGTGTTGAACTATCGAAATCAGGCATAGACAAGCCAAACAAACGATCTTTTGGGTTAGGTATTCTCATTTGTTCTACGCCAACCATCAGTGCACGACATAACAGTTAACATTAGATTGGTCATGTGACTGTTCGCCATGGTGTCCACAAACCCATATGGCGTGGCGCAACCCGTTATTTCTGAACTTCTTCACCACTGTAGAAACTCACTGACTAGCCCCAAACAGGTTGGAATGTGTCACACAGTACCAACACACGTTCTGACTGTACATATTCCATATATAAAATGAGGCTAAGTAGTTAGTTGGAAACAAAAGATGAATCGGACTGATAGTCAGTATTTGGAAAGTGCACAATCTTCATTTCCCCGGTTGAGAACCACTACAAAAGAGCGAACGCATGAAACATGTAATGTGGTCACAGAATTCGCTTATTGCATACCGTGCAGCAACCGTGGTCTCAACTTATCACATGTTCCTCGACACAATGGAGTCAGGAGTGACACTGCTTCCTCACAATGCACAAGGCTAAATCAAAGTCAACACAATGATGGATAGTTGTTGAAGAGCTCCAGCACTCGGAGGAAGGATACAAGTGCTCCCCTAAATAACCTTTAATTAGTCATGAATCAAACAATGCACATGTGACACAGTGACGTATCGAAAAGAAACTAGATGAAAACACCGTGTTTGTGACTTGGAGACTGACCCCACTCAAATCCCACTATGGGTTAGAAAATTTTCGTTGAGCAACAGCAAGCACAAGGTACTCCAAACGACTCATCCAAACCTGTAAGGTGTTAGTATTGCGAGCAGCACTCACCTACATAAAAGCTTAGCAGTTGCAGTCAGCAACTCGGACTGACTGCTTAAGGATGAAGAACTTTGATAGGACTGCGAGCCCATCAAAATTGACTTCCTTCAAAGTCTAGCCAGCAACTATTTTCAATAAAGCGAAACGGAAAATGAACTCATGAGTCATTTCTTGAAAGACTGTGGAACTTATCTGCTACTCAGTCCTTTTTGGGAGGCATCGCATCCAGTTCATGCGATCTAACTATACTTTCGTTTCACGGTCACGATAGATTTATCCTGTGGCTACATCGAAAGGATTGCGCACGTGTCGATTTCTCTGCCGGGAGCAAGCGGTCCGACCAATGTATTAGAACCAACAACTACCTGATAACCTTTAAATAGTGATGCACACCGAAATGAAATGTGAGACAATGTGAGAGTATATAATAGATGTTGTACGTATTCATGAATAAAACTCCCCGAGTTGGTCAAAGGTACGGATAAGAAGGTTTACACTCGGTTGAAAGATGAGTGGACAGTATGCGAGAATAGAATTGTAATCAATAGGCCAGGCTTACTTGTCGTAATCTTTTCAGTTCTCGTTTGGAATGCAGTGGTGGAACTGATGTAGTGTAGAAAGGGTTCTGAAAGGCAACATGGACGTGGCACACGAATTGACAACGGAACAATAGAGCACAGTACCAACCTCATGAGGAAACAACTTTTGAGGTAGGGATAGTTTCGCTGCAACGCGCTCTCCAGGAAACAAAGCCTAGAACCACTTAGGAGAGAGTGAACTTTCCAGAATAACTAATCCACCCCCTAAAAAACGCTACAACTTGCTTTTGACTCACCTTACCAGCCAAATATCGTCTTGGACAACTGCCACTAACATTTACGCCACAACACCTAAGGACAAACGAAACCTTGATTCTGGCTAACCAACAGTATAGGATCCACAATTCAGACAGCTATCATGAAAAACTTCATATAAGTGAAACAAGGGACGATAGGCATGACCATGGAAAGTACGATTACTCAACGCATAACGATACATCTCCATTCGCCGTTCCTTTTGCGTCCGTAAAATAAACACCACTCAGTCGAGCTGACTAACGAAAGATGAGATAAGGATCACAATAAGGTTACTCTTGAGAGATGAGCCAGAATATATGCTACGGATCACTGCATCAACTAAAATATCCGGGAAAACAAACAAAACACAGTTGCATTAGCTCATTTTGAGGACCATTAGTTAAGTACTGATCGCCGATGTGTCACTACTCAGATGGGAACTATGAATAGTCTTATCAGTTAGCAAAATGCTTAGGCTATTAGTACGGTCATTTCCAGTGGATTCCGCAAGTGAGATACTATCTATACTACTGGCGGGATATCCAAAAGGTTACAAAGACCGGCAAATATACAGAAGTTGTCAATTTAGTAAATAGTCATTTGGCTAAAGGTTTGTAACCACTATTACATGAGATGTCATCCACGTGCATCCATAGCACAAGGTGTCCCCCACGTTGTGTGGCAGGGCGGCGGCAATGTGAAAGAGCCAGCACAAAGGGAGTAAGCGGAAGCCATTGTGTGCGGGTCAGACTGTCCGGAGAGAGGGCCGAAAGTATCTATAAGGGAACACCGGACTCGAGCACCTACTGGTTTTGAGGTTCAGTGCAAATGCACATCATGACACGTTTCCCATACCGCGGGTCGGCAGTCGAAAAGACACGTGTACACTTTAATTCTACGTCCCAGTGGGTAGCAGGATCATGACATAGCCGACAGCCAGCGATCAGAAGGGAAACACCACGAACGGATCAAGGGTACGTGGGTAAGAAGTCCGTCCATATTTAGCCAATTTTTTGATCGCCTGTTTGACCGGTCGTAATAAACGGTTGATATGGCAGTCAGTATACTCGTAACAATTAAGTTTGTTCATCCGATTAACTGGATGTTCGATCCTGATCCAAGCTTTTTAACTGGTTACTGAAAATGATTGCATTTGTTGGAATAGCCGGATAATAGAGTTATCCCGAGTTAATTAAGATTTAAGAGGGAACTCCTACAATCTCCTCCTACATCTTGACTCGAGAATGTTGTAATCAACCATATGCTGGGATGATTTAGTGCAGGCAGTTACGAGTGTGAAAGAGCACGACTCGTTTAACTTGTCATACCGCGTGCTAACAGTCTATTTTTGAACCTCCCACAAGTTATCCAGTCTGCGTGCATTTCGTCCCCGTACGAATAATCGTCCATCCATCATCATTCTCATTTCGACTGTTCCGCCAAATGAAGAAACTCAGGTTTCACTTGGGGCCACCCGAAGTGGACCACCAACGGTCGTTGAATGTAAGCTATTCGAATGAACGATTACTCAACTAATACGTAATATGGGTATTGCATTTACCTGGATCGACACCCACTTGGTTTCGAACACACTCGCCTCAGAAAAACCCGCACGAAATGACTGAACATCGTCGTGGTGTGGCTGGCTTGTGTACCTCTACGGCCCATTAAGCTACTCGGGGATCTCACACTGACTACTGAAGAGTTTCTTACACCAGGTTGATCAAAGGGTAAAGGTTTGACGAACATGGTCTCCTGGTAATTCATGTTGGAGCATGTACGAGGAGTTGTCCCTCAAATACCTGTGCGGCCGCCATCCACTGATTTGCGGTTAGGATTCTGAGCCAAAGGCCCCAACTACCCTCCTGCCAGTATCCTGATTCGCGTAAAACCATGTATTACTGCAATATCAGTAGCCGCCTGATGCCATCACCCGCGTCATCGTACTTCTTGAATTCAACAGGACGGATGAAATAAATAGGCTGATACTGACGCATCCTCCTACCCCATCCCATTGTGGGTACTCTCTGTATGTCCTAGCATTAAGACTGACAGATTTGTTCGCTTCGCATCACCAATGATGGCAACATCTAGGCCTTTTTTGCACAAACAGCCCTAAACATAACAAAACCAATTTTAAAACCTTGAGATCCGGTATACCCAACTGTCTTCAACATTCGCACCCTGAAAGAAGCAGGATGACAAGCGGTTCTTGCTCGTACGCTGGATTCTTCCCACATTGATTTATGCCATCTGTAAGAAAAAGGAATTTAAGACGCAAGTACTGTAACTGAAATGACTGTTCATCGCTCTCTTCCCGCTTCCGGAGGCGCACATCTGGCCGCCACAGCTATACACGTTGTGGGCATCGTGTTGAGTAATCCGGCGGTAACGTTTCAATTTGATAAGGTGGAAACTGACAGTCGCCTTAGTGTGGCTCATTTGACAAAAAGTCGCGAAGAATATGGATCCATCGTTCCTTATTTATTGTAACAGCTTATATCCCAATGAACTGTGGCGCGGAATTAGCTAGCGACAGTTACCTTCATCCTTTACATGTTCTTTTACAACAAGCTAAAAGGTCAGACATGGGTATGGTCACTGGCGGCAGTGAAGCATCAGTATCTGAACACTGATATGCTGCCGATGATGATGGTCACTGGTGGCATGAATGCGGAAGTTCGTAGGTATAACTCTGCTAGGAATCGATTGGGCGATTGTCTTGGATTGAAGATGAGATTCACGGACAACGCCTACTAAGGTGTGTGCTGATCAAAGACTGTTCATTTGTAGTACTGACTTCCGGAAAAGCGGGATTCGTGGCACTCATGAATGAAGGAATCCTGGACTCAAATGGACCACATTGTTATCAGTTACCAGTGAAGAGGATTGATCACTACTTGCCACTCCATCTGGAACACCCATGTGGACTCCGATCAGGCACTTGTCCATTGCTACCCTTTATTGCGCTTTTCAGACTTGTGCAAAAAGTTGGTGTGTTTAGTTTTCAGCTACAGAATTGTTGTAACTAACTGCTGCGGCCTTGGTGTCGAAAAGACTCGCCAACAAGGAACACATCAGCTGTATTGTGAACAAGCGAGTGCAAAAATTGCAAGGGGGATCTCTGTATTTTAAACACACTTTTGATTTTGAGTTCAAAATGTCCGATCGGTGTTGGGTGAACACTCACCATTATCGGTCCTTGTTGAATTGATTGACTGCTGGAGCGTCTGGTTGAAAGCTGTATTTTCCGACTCAGATGTTTGGCAGCTACCCTTCTGCGATTTTGTTGCTTGAGGGTCTCAGTAAGTTTCGGTCATTTTGGGATTATTTTCAGGAGTTTGACCTTGCTGACAGAAACGTTTACGGAAGTGCGGTGCTGCAGCTTCGTTTGCCGAAGGTAACTGCAATAACAGAATGAGCCACACCCGGAGGGGATGACCCAACCAGTGTACTTGACGAAATGATTCTTCTTGTCTCATATGGCAGTGAGAAAACTGCGCAGTGAAGGTAAAAGATTTAACACAGGATTACGACTAGTTGATTGGTATAGTCGTATCTATCAAGGTTTGTATCATCTCCGGGTTCCCATCCTATGGTACTTATCAGTGCGACCGAGGTGACTAGTATAGGCTTTTTCGCTTTGTCACCAGGTCATGGACTGACCGCTTACGGGTCGTCTCCATCCGACACACGGCTGGGCGAAGAGAGCTTTACGAGGTAAAAGGTACTATCGCACACGAAGTGCATGGACTGAGCAGCATGACCTGTGAAGTGTGACCAATTGGTCTACCGATTATGACTGAACTGTCCTGAAGAACATCTGGCGGACCTCAGTATTACTGATATGAAGTTCTCACCTAGCCCCATAATGCTCCGGAGGCATTGATGGCTAAATGCACTCTTGGAAGATCTACACGCAGAAGCTACGTCTCTGACGCATAAAGTAGAACAGATCAAACAGCAGTATTGTACAACATATCTTTAACGGCCACCACCATCAGCAGTAGCTACAACAGTGTTGATACTGATGCTTCACCGCCGTACAATCGGCTGATTTAGTTATATTTAAAGCCTCAAACTGGGAGAAAAGTGGGGTGGAGGGGCTTGATATTAACTTACCGCAAGCATTCTGAGGGGCCTACACCTTTAAGCACACAAGCAGACGGTGATTAGCCGCCGTTTCTTCCAATCTCTGGAGCCAATCGTAGCGGGAGTTACGGATCCCATCCTGGAAAGCTGACCGCGCCCACAACACACCAAATTTCACATTGACCCCTTGTCAACCTCAGTTTACGCTGTTCTGGAGGAAGGAAGAACGACACTAGTCTCGGTAGAGGATGTTCCGGCATGCTTACGTGGCACAGCCACTGTAGTCGAAGGTATTGATGTTTTCCGCCAGTATGTTACCCTTGACATGTAACCAGAAAACCATTTTCTAATTACCTCATCACGAATTCGATGATGCCACGCGACACCAGTAGCATTCCTGAGGCACTGGTGATGAATAACGTCCCCTGTTCGCAGAGGCCATGTCGGAGATCAAACATACAACAATGCAGCCCTTGCCGTAATCTGGTACACACTGCCATCGACACCCGGTGGTATATGTTTTTGACGCCAAAAGTGACACATTTTAGAAAACATGTTTGGGGCCTTTGATATTCGTGTGCTGATTTCATCAGTCACACTTCCGTCAGAGTTAATGCAACTATCGAAGTACGTAAGATTATCCACAAACTCCAGTGCTCCTCTCTGAATTGCAAGAGGCATGTTCAGAAATTGCACGTTCTAAAGTACATTCTGAAAGTCCGATTGGCATGCCAAAGATGACATGGTGGTGGTTAGTCAATTCAACAGAGCGCGGCCCTCGACTCCAAATATGAGGGAGATATCGTCTCTGCACTCCAGATCGACACGGTTCTCACCAGCAACATGGAGGTTTTGAACACCTTCCAGTATTTGCCCCACTATTTCATGCGGCAATCTCTCGGCTGCTCGCCAGGACTTAATCAGCTGCTCCGATAGACCATATCGACCTGTTCATCTCTGTATGAGTTTTGGCTTTGGTACCACACAGCCTTGCGGTATCAACTCACACTGCAGGTGCATTTGTTGCGCGGAACAGCTTCGTTTACCAATTAGGAAGCCAATGGACCGCCAGATCAAACGAACTTATCAAAACGGACTACTCAAACAACTGTCTGCTGGTCTGGTTTCGGATATAAACGATCACTGAAGGAAGATCCAAAGCTGCACTTGACACCGGAACTTCTGCCTATGCAAACCAGCTAGCCTCTTTCAAGCAGCAGGTCTCTGATACGACCACCACTTTGCTGGAGGCCCCTCGGTCGCAATGAAAGTTCAGGTAAAACTGACCAGAGAGGCTGGTAGATCCGGAGGGCTAAGGAATGGAAGAAACTGGAAATGTTGGAGATGGTTCCATTTAATTCGGTAGACAGGTCCCCGGAATTCTTCTGACAGCAAAACTACCAAGTAATTTAGTGACTTTCTGATCTGCAGTAAAGGACAGCGTTTGAACAGCTGGGCAGAATAGTTCAGGTAACAATTCAGTTAGTCATCTTTTACCCATCCAAACCATCGAAAGTTGAAACAACCATTGACTGTGAACATAGAACACCCGTAGGCCTCATATCAATCAGTCAGTCAATCAGCCCCTGGAGGCGACGGTATATTTGATTAGTTCAGAACTGGGTAGCTACGCATTGAAGGCCGTAACTTTGATGCGTGAGAGCCGCTGACTGCGCGAGTGGGCCATCTTTGACAGCGCCATTAACCATTGGTAAGTTGAGTCTCGAAGTCCATATCCACGGAGGTGGCAGCTGTCGACCCGACTCGGTTTACCGGTTAGTGTTTTCATACTTTGCTGCTAGGTCATAGTGTCCACCTCTCGGTCGTTTCCAGTGAAAAAATCGTTCAGCTGCAACACCCTTGTCTGTGGCTAAATGCCATGCCACCAGAAGGTGGCACGAAGGCAGGGATACTGCCAGGTTCCTCAAGGCTAGGTAGGGGAAGTAGAGAGGCAGAGGTCGGGTTCGAACCACAGACCTTCCGGTCAGTCAGTACAGGGCTGGGCGAAAAGGGCTCTGCGAGGCAGATGGTCTTCGGCATTCAGAGTACATGTCCTAACCAGTGTAACCTATGAAGCATGAGTGATCCATCTTGTACAGGAGAGTTTCTTCTTCCTACGACCACTTGACGTACCTCAGCATTACTGATCCGATTTTCTCACCAGAGCCGACCAATGCTCCGGAGACACCGACGGTCAAACAGTGACATCTTCCGTATGTCCTCTGTGCGTAGAGGCCACGTCTTTCATCACAAAGCACTATGGATAGCACTGCCGCATGGTAAACTCTGCTCTTGACAGACTCACGTCACGTAGGCACTGGTGTACGAGGTTAGCAAAAGCTGTCCTGACTGTGGCGACCCGAGAAGCAATCTTATCTCCAGCCAGTCCACTTGAACTTATACAACTGCTCACGTAGACAAATCTATCTACCACATCGACTGGCTGGTCTACAAGCGTGAGATTTGGGTTTGGTCCCACTCAGTCTTGTGACAGCAATTTGCACTTTGCATGCATGAAGCATATACCAAACCGTGTGGCAGGGTTATTTAGGTTATTTAAAATAGTTTGCAAATTCAGTGTCTGTGAAGGGAGGTTCCGGGAACCTTTCGACTCCCGAGGTTACAGGCAGAGAAATTTCAAGCAGCATACTAATAGCAAAGTTGAGGAGGAAAGGTGAGAGAGGGCAGCCTTGTCTTACACCACTGGACGTGGTGAACTCTGGCAAAAGCTTACCTTATACTCGTACTTGCATACAGTGCTCGCATAGGGGATGTAAACTTGGAATAGACACGTTTGATCGTCAGACACCGCCAAAGTTTCTCACGGTCGACAGAGTCAAAAGCAGATTTCAGATCAAGGAGAACAACCCACGTGGGATGTTTGAAGCAGACACTGTTCAAGAATTTGTTTCAAGGTAAGCATATAGTCGACGCATCCTCGGCCAGGGCGAAAACCAGCTTGATTATCACTAAACTGTCTCTCCCGATCAACTTATGAAAAATAATGGCAGAGAGCACCTAAGAGATGAAGGATAACAGGTTGATGCCATGATGTTATTCAAAAGACGTCAATTGAAAACTGGGATAGCAATCGAGGAGCCTCATTTGGCTGTTTTCGTTCAGAATCTTCTGCGGTGTGAACCTTAGACCGTGCACTAGGACCTCGCCACCTTCTTTAAAGAGTGAGGGGTAGAACCCATCCGCGCCAGGCGCCTTGTCATGCTTGAGGATTGCTATCTCAGTGGATTTTTGTTGCTGATGATGTCGATGTTCCATTCAGGCCCATTGGGTTCTTCCACTGGTTGTGTTTAAGGGATACCAGCTGAACTGTTCTTCGAAGTATTCAGCCCACCGCTCAAGACGATGATTGAGGGAGTGAACTGCCGTTCCGTTTCTTCGTATTCTGTTTCACTGACACCTACAATCTCACCGCATGGTTGCTTTCGCTCCCCTCCATTCAACCTACAACCAATGACTGTATTCTCATTGGGCTTCTAGCTAGATCAGTTTGATACTGTTGAGAGACTGAAAGGCATCGAAGTTTCTCCTTCACTAGGCGTAATTCCGAAATTCCCGATCATCCATACCAAGGAATGGAGTTGATGGTGTCATTATGCGCCGTTAACAAAAACAAGATCTGGGAGTGGTTATGGTGAAGAAACTCTACCTCGTCATAAGAGTGAACTATGTTGAAGACTACATTCCGTGGCTTTCCGCCAAAAACATGTCGAGATTCATCATAAGAGTGAACTATGTTGGCTTTCCGCCAAAAACATGTCGAGATTCGGCTCGACCGAAAATGGGATGTCCAACTGTCCCATGAGTTTTATGAGCAGCTTGGTCGACAACATAAAGGGGGTAACATAGCAAAGGAAATTAGGTAATAACAGAAAGGATAACTGGAAGAATGAACAGTGTACTCACTTCAGTGGACTGATTTGGCAGTTCATCCGCGGTGGGACGTACGATTCCGAGGAACTGCCATAGTTTCTCTTCTTCTTCAGGGTTTAGTTCTTCTGGTTTGTTAGAAAACGGGTTCCTCAAAAGGCTGTAGTCCACAGGACAGTTGGTAAGATATTCTCCGGAAATGTCGGTGAACGAAAGGGGTAGTTTCCATCTGTGGAGCGAATAGCAAAATTGTCGCATGATGACAAAAACTAAGTCTAGCTTACCAGTAGATGCCCTCCCTCTGGTTGTGCGGTAGCTTAATGTAATCCTAGTCCTGCTGCATTGGTGATGGAACACAGCATTTCCACTACAGACTACAAATAGCAAAAATAACAAAGGACATCATGGCCTTAGAGTTCCTTTTTGGTCTAGAATGCGGACGGCCTAAACGGCTATGGTTAATTGGTTGGCATTTCCAGGATGTCGGAACACCTGGCCATTATCAGTCGTCAAAATGTGCTTATTTGACGTCCAAAATACTCGAAAGCCTTCCCCATGGCGATTTGATAAATCTGCAGAGTCTCAATGATGTTCAGCAGCCCCGGAGTTGCTTTAAAGAGTCGGCCACTGTCCTGAAGATCCATTAACTTTGAGGAAAGACAGGAAACAGATGCCAAGGGCTTAAAACTGGGTTCCTCTGGCCCGGGAGAATATCGCTTCACAAGGTCTCATTTGTGAAAGGCGACTTTACTGCTGGAAACTTCCAAAAGTGCACGAAAAATCTACACCGTACAGCTGAGGCACTTAGTGCTTGTTGATCCTCCATACTCCTGGGAATATGCCAATTCATCACAACATTCAAGCCGCCCCCCCCCCAAAAAAAATGACCAGGAGGGGCTTGGTTGGTCCCTGTCCGCGGATTGACCATTGTTTGATCATTGCTTTCTACACCCGCTTCCATACAGCCGTCGGGGGAGTTCCCAATACAAAGGAACTCATGTGCGTATGCTGCACCCCATGCAACTATGAGACGCCCGTCGTTCTTTTTGGAAGGACAGCATACTGGAGAGAAACCATGATCAACTGCTCTCTACAGACAGATATAAATAACAGGCTGAGACCAGAAAGTTCCCGGTAGCATCCATTAGTTAAGCTGTAGGCAAAAAACCCGTGAATTTAGACATTGTGCGCTTAAAATGCATATTAGATTAGGTTTCGGCAACCGACTGCATGAGTTTATTTAAGTGACAGCATAAATCAATCGTGTAACGAACCTTGTTTTCTTCGAGCAGCTAATAAACTCAGCTTCATCAACCATGTGCTTCGGAAATTTATGATTTCGGCGGCAGACTCGATGCGGACAGCTGAAAGCCTAGCGCTATGATTGGCTGCTTTGTAGGTCAAGTAGCGTCCAGTTTCCTACGCAGGAAATTCACGGATTCACGGATTCTTCATCAACTGCTTCGGAAATTTATGATTTCGGCGGCAGACTCGATGCGGACAGCTGAAAGCCTAGCGCTATGATTGGCTGCTTTGTAGGTAGGGTAGCGTCCAGTTTCCTACGCAGGAAATTCACGGATTCACGGATTCACGGATTGATACACAGGATCGAGGCTTTTGCCCAAGTTTCCCGGGTCGGTTTTGTTCTTGTCGGTCAGTGGCTGTCGTTCACCTGAAAGGCACAAGTGAAAAA